CAGTTAACCTTTTCATAAGTGGCTCTACAGCCACAGCATGTCAGAGGGCGGCTCCACAGTACAACATCACCGTTATTGGTAAAGTGTAAAGCCTGCAGAGTAGATAAAGCATATTGGGATTTTAATATATTCACCATAAAACACACCCACATAAATGTATGTCTATCAAATGTATGTCCAGAAGTACACCAGGCTTTGTAGTGGCCAAACACTGTAATTACACCATCATGTGACGCCCAAAAAGACTTACATGACTTAAGAGATGTCTGTAAATCAGTGGATACGTTTTTTTTGAGTGTGACAACCCCCACGAAATGATTTGTTTTAATCCATTCAGTCAGAGAACATTTTGAGAGTCCAGAGGAGCCACATGATTAAATCATTTTATCTCCTTTCAAGTTAATGGAGCGCTAGGCTTGGTTGGGCAGTATTTAATTTTTCAGACCTTCATACCTGGATGAAATTGTTGAAAAAAGAAACAGTCTCACATCTGTTTTCCTCATTAAACTGTACACCTTTTGAAGTCTTCTGAATTCACAGAACTGACACTGGCTTAATTGACCCTTTGCTAAGCCCCGCCCCCCTTAGTTACTGTTGCCACATCCTTCAAGCTTTCGCTCCTAGCATAAGAAATATGGAGTTTTCAGTGATATCAGTGAGAGATATTCCAAAGGAAATAACATCAAATTTCTGGAAAAACTGTTCGGAGATATCAGAGAGAAGCCGACAGAAAGGTCTTCAATATGCATGTGAGAGCTACATCCACAATTTCATCTGCTGGCGGAGTATAAATCACGAGAACATTAAAATAGACAGAAAAGCTCACCAGTCACAATGCAAGCGTCAGGCACCCCACGTCTTGACACTTCACGTGAAGGACAAAGAATGTTCTTGTACAGGAGGGTAAGTCAATATATGGTTTAAATTTAAGTTAATGTTGAGTTATGTTCCCTCCTTGGGGCAGACAAAGGCAGAGCAGCTAGCACACAAAGCTAGCGTTAGCAAATGTTAGTTAGCATCTTAACTTGGAACAAACAAAGGTGTTTTTATTGATCTTTGCTGGATTCAGCTGTTCGTGTGGTCTTCCACACTGTTTTAGCCATATCTTTCTTGGGTCTTGAGCTTGGGGAAGGGGAAAAATTCAACACCACCTTCGACACTTTTTGGGTATCAGGTGTCGGACTTGAAGGTAACATTACCGTACGCACGCCGCTTCGGCATATTAGCTTCTGCTGAAAGCTTGACGGAGCTCTTGGTTGCTACACACGGTTGCTAACGTAGGATTGGACAGTGACTGATTAAGGGAGAGGCTTAGCGAAGGGTCAATTGCCTTATTAAGTCACACTTCATTCAAACTCGACAGAAACAAAATAAAACTCCCCCAATAGTCGTGGTTATTCTTGTTACTCTTCTCTTCCAACAACCACCAACTCCGGTTAGGTCGAAATAAACCCTGAATTAATTGAGTTAGATGTAGAAAACATGTTGTTTTTACCCCGTGGTCTCTTTGTACATCTATGATGTTCACACCCTTCCAGTGTTTTCCCTAGGTTTTTGGAAGGCTTATGTCAGCTTATGGCTGATGTCATTTTCGGGAACTGCCCATTGGTTTGACAGCCCATTGGTTCGACATCCCATTGTTCCGACCATATTAAACTCATTGTTCCTAAGTCCGTTCCGAAATCATCATGATGCCCTGTGGTTAAGGTCTGCTTAGGTTTAGGCACAAAAACCACTTGGTTAAGGTCAGGAAAAGATCATGGTGTGGGTTAAAATGAAAAAGAAAGTGGCAAACACATAAGCCGTGAGCCTGCTCCGCCTCAAGCCGTCGCGGCGCACCATACGCCCACTGCGAGCCGTTCAGCACCGCAGACAGTCGGACTAATGGGATGTCGAACCAATGGGCTGTCGAACCAATGACATGGACCCGTCATTTTCATGCCAGCAAGGGAGCGATCAACTAAAGCCATAAAAATACAGAGAAATCTTAAGCCAAATAATCACACATTCACTAGAGAGACATAGTTTAAAAGTTAATAAAAAGAAAAATGAAAATCTACAAAGGGAGGGAGACAGCATCGCTGAATTCTCACTGAGAACTCACTACAACATTACAACACTACATTGTTTTCATACAGAGATGCGACACAGAAATGCTTTGACACTATAATGGCAGGGAAAACCCTGCCTGGGTGTACACATGTGTGCTCAGATACACAGTGTACATACTAGAAAAACAGGTGTCCCTGGTTGCTATAGGAACATCCGCAGCTCACATTAGAAATCTGTTTGATGATGAAGTAGCCTTCTATGTGTGCAGGCATTTCCAATTGACCCACACAGCCGCCTGGTTTTCCTGAGAAACAACAGAGGAAGAGTTTCCTCAAGGACGCAATTAAAACAAATACTTGTCAACCCGCATTAAGTCATGTTAATTAAAATATTCACACACCTTAAATGAGTTTCTGAAAATCTAGTGAACAGCTGTTAAAAGTGGGGCAGAGATGACGTAGAGAGTTCAGCGCTTCAACATGGCAAAGGAACATCATCTAACACACCAGATGGTCTTAGTACGTGTGTATTTTTGTGTTACTGCCTCTTCTGTATTTTTATACCCACATAGAAAGTAGTCAGAAAACTAGACATTCCTCTCCCTTGAGTGACACAAAATCACTGTCAAATATCTTTAAGAAACACACGATCACAGGAGGACAGCTTTCCATGAAGTGGACCTGGGCCTGTTTTCCAAGTGAAATCACAAACATCTTCAACTTTGCAAGCATGTGAACAACGAGTTCGAGAGTTATTTAAACAAGCTTTAACATGAAAACGTTTTTAACCACGCATACAAGGGGAACAAAAGCCCTCTCACTACTGAAACATGAGGTTATAATACCATTCCTCGCACTGTATGTCCTTGCTTTTGTATTTTCACTTGAACGTTCTGTCACAATATTTGTTATGATTTTATTGCGTATTTTTTCCTGCCTGGTGTCTGTGACTCAATGTTTCTGGGCGGCTACGCGGGCAAAAGCAACAAATACCCTCTTTACTGTTATTTATTTGCGGCGATGTGACTTTTCCAAGAGCTGCGTTCAATTTTTCTTGTTTGTTTTGCTCATCACAATATAATCCAAATCATTCTGTGCTTATGAGGTGAAGTCTGGTGTTTACAGCACATGCATTCACTCACAATTGCTTTGTATTCACGCACACGTGCACATACACAGTTTACGTTAGCTATTGTGGGCCCAGAGGTCATGGTCATGCTCTCATAGTGCCTGTAAAGATCATGTGAGTGAGTCTGTTCTGGGTGTGTGTGTGTGTGTGTGTGTGTGTGTATTTAAGAGGGTGTCGTAAAACCTTTTTGCAGCTGTCATGACGTAAGCCTATTGTACGTATTTGTTTCTCGCATTCACTTTAGCTGACTTTCTACAGTTACTCTGTCTTCTTAAACATCATGAATATGATCATGTTTCTATTATCAGGGTAAGGTAAGGTAAACCTGATATTTCCAGCTAGATTCTCCTGGATAAAGCCAGTTTCCTGGTTATGTGCTGTACATGCACAACTGGATTTCTAACTGAGCTGACAACTGACAACTGACAGCTGAGCAGGTTAGCGAGAGGAGATCATTTCATGTGGTGATGCATTCTTGTTGTAGAGGCTAAGCCAATGTTTTTACCCACCGGAATGACTTCAATTGACGTGCTGATTGTTACTAGGGATGTTCCTGGCGACTAATTTCCCTGTAGACTAAACGAAGATTCAAAATGAAGACATGGTGTATTCAGGCTCAGCATATTCAGTTAACATCCTGAAGCTTTTACCTTCAACAAAGTTAAATGGAAGCATATCTTGGTCATTGTTGTGATGAGCTGCGTTATCTTCTCAGACCTATCTTCACTGTGTCTCCGGGTGAACGATATCAAATTGGTCTGAGTGTGGCTAACACTGCTAGCAGCAGCAGCAGCCATCGTTCCGTGCAGGTTAACATCCAAATGCTTGAGTTGAATGTGGTTGTGCATTGCTACAGTCGAGTGATTATATGCTAGTTTTTTCTGACACAGCCTACATGCTACCTTGTTTTCATTTTCTACACCAAAGTACTGCCGAACCGTGCTTAAATTTCCCGCCATGCTGTTTTAAAACTCCAGTCTACTCGAGCATTACCATGTGTGCTTCAGGGGTCAAAAACAGTTTTTCCTTCCAGGTGGAACACCTGACCAGGCATAGAAAGGTTCCCACCATATATAGTGATAACTGCTAATTACCCTGATACCCAATACAACAAATACACCATACAAAGAAATAATTCGTGCATATTCTTGTCCTACACTTGTATGAAAGTACCCTTCATCCATTGTCTGACTAAAACTGGAACTGGCACAAAGTGACCTGTTAAAGTATGATTACGTCATTTACATTATTCGACAAACATAACCCACTTCCTCTGTGTTCTGTGTTGCTTCTTTTTCCTTTTGAACTGGTAAATGTTTTGCCTATTAATATAATCAGCTATGATTTAATGACTTTAGTGTAACATAAAGGATTTTCTCTCTCTGTGCCCTTTATTTGACACAAAGATCACTTCGAACAGAGAGTCTCCACACCTTGAGACATGCCACATTACATGCTTTGGATTCAGACTTTAGTCTCATGCCACCAGCTGCTCTTTGTGTCCTGGTCTGTTTGTCAGCTGGTAGAATCAAAGAAGAAGTGAAGTCATGACGCTGTGCTATATTAGCTGTGTGCAGCCTGCCTGTCGAGGCTGTGTCTGTGTGGTGCTACACATTTTTTCATTTACTTAGGTGCTGATGTGGAAAACATGTCACAGTGCAAATCCTGGCATGATCCATAGACTATAAACTGTGACAATGTGAAGACTCAGATGTCAAATCATAAAGACGAAACCAAACACAACATGTTTTATGTAACAACAAAAACTTTTTATGTGGTTCACGGATATAAACAATGAGTTTTAGTGAGTGATACTTAATGTAAAATGAACTTTTCTTGGCTTACACAGTGCACCTTTAAAGCGGATAAACAAGTTTTACGTGATTCTTCTTCTCGTAACTTCCCTTCAGTAGATTTCCCCTGTGATTTTTTTGTTTGTTTTTGCCAAGCAACATTTTAGATGATTTTTTTTTTAGGCATGCGGAAGGTTACTGTAACACAGCCAACTTTTAAACGTCTTATCTTTCTGGAGGACAGAGGCAAGTCACGAGAGCTTTGACAGTGCACTTATGTACAGACTGAAAGACATGTACTTAAAAATTATACTAATTTTCTCAGGAGCAGTTTCCATCTATGCTCAAAGTAAGTATGGCTACTTCCTTATGACTGTTACTGTTGAATCTGTAGAAAAAAAGAAACCAAAATGACACGTTATTTGTAAAATCTGTTGATGATTTTGTCACCAATATATATTGTCTAAACAGGCTTTTATTCTGAGTTGATGTGTGATTGATGCATTTTCCTAGGAAGTCATGAACTTTGTCACAATTATGGCTGCTTTGACTCGAGTGATACTCAACTCTGTGTGACACTGGATGGTGATGATGTCTACTACGCTGACTTTAAAGAAAAGGGTCTTGTTTGGGAAAGCAGAATCCCTTCAATGATCCACGTTCCCTGGGCTTACGAATATGCCGTACATTACAGACAAAGTTGCAGATATGATTTGCTCAGATGGAAACCAGACACGTCTGCTGCAACAATGACCACAGGTAATATACATTCATTGATGTTATGTTGACTGTCTACTTTTGGCAAAGATACTGTATCCATTTAGCACAGGGTTGTTGAGAGACCATTGAACGTACACTAAATTATGTGTTAATTTAACTCTCAGAGACACCAGAAATCCTCATCTATCCCAGAGATGAAGTGATAGAAGGAGAAGAGAATACACTCATCTGCTTCATCAACCATTTCTTCCCTCCCTCCATTGACATAAAGTGGACCAAGAATGATGTAGAAGTAACAATGGAAGATGCTTTCAACAAATGCTTACCCAATCCTGATGGGACGTTTCACGTTTTCTCCAACCTGAACTTTGTCCCAAAGGAAGGAGACATCTATGGCTGCACTGTGGAACATGCGTCGCTGGAGAAGCCTCAGACTCAGTTTTGGGGTGAGAACAAAAATGCTCAATGATGTATAATATCGTAATATTTTTTGACTGGTCTGATAAAGATGGAATGAATAAATTCTAAAGTCACTTTAAAATTTGGGTTTTCCTGTCTTCCCCAGAAACTGACACAGATGAGACGAACATTGGTCCAGCTGTCTTTTGTGGACTTGGCCTGGGTCTTGGACTTCTTGGAGTTGCTGCAGGAACAATATTTTTTGTGAAAGGAAACAAATATCAGGGCTTCCTTGTGACCCAGTAGTTAAGACCTATAATATATACAGCACTGTTATTTCATCATCCCTGGTTTGTTTCTGGCCACTGACATTTGTTTCATGTTACTTCCACTTTTCTCTGCTCCCTTGTTTCCTGACACCTCTCAATTGTCTACTTTGAGTAAAGGCCAAGATGCCTGCTCAAAAAAAGGAAATGTATGCATATGAGTCAAGCTGAATCACTTTTGTATCTGTAATTCATTTGAAGATCACATCTATAATGTGTTATGAGGGCATTTAGAGTGAATTCTAATGCATTTATAATGCTCTATGACTAACACACACCATGCTTCCTGATACACGTAATCAACAGACATAAAACATTAGAGATGTGTCTTATAATGTATTGTAAGTGTCTTATGGATGCTCTTGACTAGTTAAAAAGTAAAGACTGACTGATGGAGCTTATAATGCATTACAAATACCTAAACTCACCTATACACACCTCAACAATCAACTGCAGTTAGGAGTCCTAGGATGTTATAACAGTCCATGCAGTATCATAGTTATCATTGTGTGTGTTAAGTAATGCAAAGTATATATTGATGCATCTATAGTAATGCATACCTCATCATAGGGTTCAATTGTTTATGTTAAGTGCAGCGCAATGCATTTTCATGTATTTAAAACATTTTTTCTGGATTAATCTGGAATTCTGGATTTTCCAACTTGCAAATGTGGCCCACATGAGTCATGCAAATCTGTAAAAAATACATATATTTCTGAGAAGGGAGTTTGTTCATAGGTGCTGCCTGGCCTGGGCATTCGGGTCTTTTTTTTCAATTTCAATTTCGATTTTTCTTTTTTTTGACGCTCTGATGAGGGATATAAATCTACTTTCAGAATCATCTGATGTAGCTTGTGACCTTCAGTGAGGACGTGTTTCACATGACTACATGACTACATACATATTCATTGTTTATTTCGGTTAAGATCTGGAATGCATCCCATGTCCCATAATTAATACACAAATACTGCTACTATGTGAGAAGTGTCAAGCATATTCTGGAAATTGCAAAGATTCACACCATGTGCAGGATGGCAAAAGTGGGATTTTAACTTTTAAAGTTTGCATCAAAAGATGTTCACCTTCCCTCTCAACTACTGCACATCGGGTCACCACTGAGTATGTACCGAGATGAAACATACCTCCCTAGAAGGATTTTACAGAATAAATTATAAATTGAATTGAGTTATATTTCCTTGAGTTGAATATATTATTTTGGTAGCATTTTACACATATATTTGTTTATATATGTTTAAACCACAAGATTTCATAACAGATGGGCAGAAACAGGAGGATTGTGTGCAGGTATAGGTAGTTTCATGACAACTTCTTCAACCTCGCCCACCAGCTCCTGGGCCAGGAAGCCAAACCAACCTCACAGGCAGAGGGCAGAGAGAGGGAGGTCACAAAACTTTAACAAGTTCACAACATGTTCACACAGTTTAAAAACATAACACATCAACCTGCTTTTCTCAGGGGTATTGTCAAAAAGTTTGTTGAAATTTGTTAAAGATATGTCGGTCTGAAATATTGTTAGGCCTTTAATAACAGATTTCTCTTAACCTCATCTTTTTTCTTTTTAATGTCTTGCTTGTGTCTTTCTTTGTATGTTGTGTTGCTGTGTTTGCTTTTTTTACTCTAATTTGGATTACAGTTACATAAAACAAACATGGAATAAAAACTGTGATAAGAGGATGAATACTACTAGTAGTAACAGTACTAGTGTCAGTATCACTTTAATTATGATAATGAATAGGGGGAGTTTCAACTGAGCAAAGGGGCGGGTGCATTCTTTATTTTGTTGACTTACCAGTGTACTGGTGTTATTTCCCCAGTATCTGTGAACACATGTTGCACATCAGAGTAGCTCTGTTCCTGCAGGTTTACTGGAAAACATGCACATTCATAATTTTCTTTTTTGTGTGATTGTGTGCCTTTTCAGTCCAGGTCAGTTACATTACTCTTCTACTTGAATGCATTTGTAAAGTTTTAGTGACTGTTTGATGTTCATACATTTCTCTCCTTTTATTACAGTTTTCTCAGATGAAGATTTTATACAATTGAAGGCATGTTGTACGTTCAAGGGTCCAGGTTTGAAAGATATAGAATATATTATAGAAAATCATTTTAACAAGAAAGTAATGATGCAGTACAACAGCACAAGAGGCAACTGGAAAGGATTCACTCCCTTTGCAATTGAAAAAGCAAGCAATTGGAGCCGTGATCCCTATGATGCACGACTGAGAGCGTTTGAAATAAAGATATTTTGTGAAGACAACATAGATCCCGTCCAACAATTAGGTAAGAGCATTTTTTTTTCTTAATATTACTTGATGTACTAAATGGATTTCGGTGTGCTGTGGACAGACTCTTTTCACAGCAGACAAAGTGTCACATGTCAAAGCAGGAAAAATAGAGTTACTTTCAGGACCCTCATGTTGTGCATGCTCACTCGCTGACATGGCCTACTATGACACTTAATAGAGCCATTGTTTAATATTATTTACACCTTTTCTTCCTGCTTAGATGAGTCAAAATGTCTGCCATGAAAAGGGTCTGTTTCATGTGTGTCTTTGAGTATTCAGAATACAACACTACCAGGATATTTTGCCCATGAACACTATTATATGAGAGAACCATGGAGTTAGAGTAATTTTAATAGCCCTTTTTACTTAGATTGTGCTATAAGGCTGCAACAAAGTCCCTTCTTTATGCTGCCTTTGCATTTTTACACAGAACCAATCAACGGTGGCATCGTGTCGTTCCAGTGTGTGATTTTAAACAGTGCGCAGGCATTGCAGAAGCAAAAGAGTCGTGACGAGCGTGACATGTAACACGTCAGCCTCTAGTGTGACAAATAACACACGCATCTCTTTATCGCTTTATTAGTCTCGCCACCAGACAATCAGAGATCTCCGCCTTCTGATAGTCTGGGGACACTCCTTTCTAAAGTGTGTTTAACACACCGGTGAAAACGGCCGGCAACAAAGCAACGCCTCTTGCATTTTTGAAAAAGACACGCCTTCTCGGAAATGTGCGCTTCCCCTTTTCTCGTCCGCAAGGAAACAAACACACAGGGAACTTGAAAATGAAGGCCTGAGAGATTTAACTCAGTTTTATCAAACGTGTGCTCATCAATGAAGAAAATATTTTTTCCAGCGGATGTCTGAGTTACAACATGATTGAGTTAACTGGAGTAGTTTCATGTCGTATCCGACAACGGGAAGCTTTTAACAGATGACGTCCTGATGTTAGCTTTGCTGCTGTTAGCTGTCCCTGTCAGCTGCAGCCACTGATGCTTTCTAGACATCGTGATTTCCCAAAACTGAATAAATGCCACACATAGCAACACAAAACTGCTTTGCTAGCTCAATCATGTTGTAACTAAGATATCCGCTGGAAAAAAAATTTTTTTCACGGACCGTTTAATGAGTTATTACCTATTACAGACACCGCTAACGGCTAAGAAATAACGTTTGTTCAGTCATTGTGTTTATAGACTTTACAAACATCGGATTAGTCTAAACAGTGATACAGTGATGTGAAAAATGTGATATAAAAAAAAAAAAAATATATATATATATATATATATATATAGCTAAAAGCTCTGCTGGATTTCTGCCCAGAAGTATTTGTAAACAACAAGGCGATTCCCTCTATAGTCCGGCCGGACGGATGAGTCATGGCCTTGTAAAAGATTATGTTTGTTTCTTTTATTTGGCGAGAATGTGTCGCCACAAACACGACAAACATGCGCTAACTTTGACGGCGTTTTCTGCGAGCGCGGCTGAGCCATTTTGTACCGCTACACGTGTTTCTAGTGGGACTATGTTTACAAGCACAAGAGTTCAGCAAGCCACTGAAGGACCGCCCTGCAGATTTACCATTGGTTCTGCAACATAGGGAGTTTTTTATAAACAATAACAACTGCAAAACCATGGTAATATGTTGGATCATGGTTGATCTCATCCTCTGGTCAGATGTTAAGGAGCTCCCGGGCCTCATTGATTTCCCAATTTGCAGGTATTTTTGGCTGTTGTACTTGTTTTTGAGTTAGCTGCTAATTGCTATTAGCTACTTTTTAAATCTGAAAATACACCACTCGTGGCCCATGATCCCGTACCACTGGCGGTCCCTTTTATACAGATATTACTACCTCCGATGCTGGTTTAAACACGAGACAACTATGTTCCCCCACTCAATGATTGTACCTTTTCTACAGAACAACGAGGCAGCATAACTGTGTAAAATATCCTGGACATTTTGAGCCGCCTTAAAGAGAAAAGTAAAGGGGGCTAATATTATAATGAATGCTACAAAAGGAATTACCCAGATATTTTGTGGTTACTATATAAATGAGCCTCTTCATATTTTTTAATGCGCAAAAAAATAGTTATTGTATATATATATATGTGTAAAAAGAAAATCCACACATGAAAAAAGGTTCAGAAATGTGTTTCTGAAGAACACACAATATGTCTTGTTTTTGATTAAATTTAAATGTCATAATCCACGACTATTCACTTAAAAGTATATGCAATTAAATGTTATCAAAAACATAACTGTGTGTTGTTAAATTGATATAGTTTACAGAGTAGTATGGTGGATTTTCATGAAAACATAAAACTTGTTTCTCAGGTAATCTCACCTCTGCACCCACCATCAAGATAAATTTAGTGAAGCACCCGTCCATGCTTGTGTGCAGTGCCTACAACTTTTATCCAAAACAAATCCGAATGACGTGGTTGCGGAACGGAGAGGAAGTGACCTCAGCTGTCAGTTTTTCTGAAGTGATGTCTGTTGGGGATTGGTACTATCAAGTTCATTCCTACCTGGTGCACACTCCGACTCGAGGAGAAAGAATGACCTGCATGGTCGAACACCTCACCCTCTCTGAACCAGTGCTTCAGGTCTGGGGTAAGTGAGCCACTGTGATGCAAACTGTACAAAGGTTGAGAAAATAAATGAATAAATGTATAAATGAAAGTGTCTTTCTGTCCACCATTTTAGTCCCTTCCCTTCCTGTGACAGAACGGATCAAAATCGGTGTGGGAGTGTTTGCTCTGATGCTTGGTTTTGTTTTTCTGAGCTCTGGATTCATCTACTACAAGAAAAAGTCTGCCGCACACTTTACTTTTTGCCAAGGTGAGGGCATTAGTTATGAAGTTAATTGACTGTAAATGTGATTAATTTTGGTTTAGCGTTATACATTTGCAGCTGCCATAAATAGTTGTTCTTAACCTCATGTTAACAGGACGAGTGTCCATTTCTGTGGAAGACCTCCCTGCAGCTGAAGCTACGTAGCAGTACTGTTGGGACATACCATCCAAGGTGACCTGAATATGGCACTGAAAAATTATAGTGGACAGTTGCAATTCTGTTTTAGTTCAGCCATTCTTGTCATGGTTGGGATGATGGGCAGCGCTTTGCAGCTTGTGCATAAAGACCACTGAACAGTGTAAATCAGATGGCACACATATGTTTATGTTAGCAGCAGCATCAGCTAAAACCAAATGCACTATGTGTGGTGGTGGTTTTATTCCTGCTTGCAGTGTGGTAGTGGACACTAGCTAGTGAAAGCCAGCAACAGCATGAGCAATAAACAGGTATGGAAATAGTAAAACTAACGTGTATTCATTGCTGTATGTTAACATTCTGAACTGTATGAACAGTCACAAAATAAAGAAGGTCTGAAAACAGCTTATGTTCAGATGTTCTTCCTTCCTGTTAACATAACAGCAGACATACTCATTTGAACCATGGTGATTGGAACATGTGAGGTCGCAGTTTAATTTCAGGCCTGTAGCTTACAGCTACATGATGACAATTATTTATTCCACCTTGGGGAACAAAGTTAAATATTATAAATTTACAAATAATGATAATGATAAGAGTGAATAAGATGGAGTCTATCCTGGCTGATATTGGGTGAGAGGCGGGGTACACCAGGTCACCAGACAATCACAGGGCTAACACATAGAGACAGACAACCATTCACACTCACATTCACACCTACGGGGAATTTACCAACCAATTAACCTGCATGTCTTTGGACTGTTTGAGGAAGCTGGAGTACCCAGATAAAGCCCACACTGACATGAGGAGAACATGCAAACTCCACACAGAGGGGCTCCCCCACCCCAGGTTTGAACCAGAAAAACCTTTTGCTGAGAGGCGACAATGCTAACCACTGCACCACCATGCTGCACATATGATAATAAGTAGAAAATATTCAATAATAAATAGAAAATACATTTAATATATTTAAAAAGTTGTCAAGACAACACAACAATAACAATACTAATGATCATACACTAAAATTACATGTTCCTGCGGACTAATTTAATTTAATAAAAAGAAACGGGGCCTTGTTTGTCTGAAATCACGTGATATCCTGAAAAACGCTACGGGCCTCGACACGGGCTTCATTTGGACGCGCCCCCTGCGCTCGACACAGGCCTCGGGACTTTAGTATCAGATGTAACATCACTACTCTTTGGTCTGATAACATTTGGAAAGTATTTTAGAGCCACAAGATTAAATCATTTATCCTCATTCAAGTTAGCGGAGCGCTAAACCGTAGCTAACTGGTTTGGCCAGTGGAACACTCTAGTGTGCCTGCTCTATGGGCCCATTAATGAGGAAGCAATGCCAGTTATTCGGGTAATTTTACATGCAGCAGTTTGACTTAATGCACCCCTCTAGTGCTGTATCCAGTTTTCTTTATACATCCATGGTATACTGGTGTTAAGAAAAAAAAAGTTTTTGACCATTAAAGCATGTAAAAATGTTCTAGTAGAAACCTTAAACTGATTTTATTGCTTCTATTAAGCATCTAATATCTGAACTGCGTCTGTAGCAACAGTTTGTTATTCATAACAGCAGTCTGCTATTCAGAAATAACAGGCTGTAAAGTGCTTTAATTGACCAATCACAATCAAGTATTCAACAAAGCTGTGTAATAAAGGGTAAATATGTTTACAGCTTGTTGTGCTGTCAAGAAATCAATTAATGCAGGTTTAAACAATTAGAAAATCTACCATAGGCCTGCAGGTGGGTCAGGTTGAATTGAAAGACAGTATAATCAACACAATCTGAGTGGAACTGCAATATTATTTCATATATGGAGATGTACAAGGGTTTAGAAAATCATACATGTCTAATACATACAAGAATAGCAGTCGCAAGGTGAGTTATATCAAAGATGATGTCTTTAGTTTACTTTAATTTGTCCATACATTTTAATTACTTACAGCATTACAGTATCATTTGTTATATATTTCATCTGTATTTAATATAAGTGTCATTAGTGTGAAAGAGTTTGAGAGTGAGGGAGTTCATGACATTCAGACCTCTAACAGAAGAAGAAGAAGAAGGATGAGCTTGCCATATCGCTCAATAATTACATTTGTTTGGCCAAAACAAACCTGACAGGCAGTTGAACAGCACACATAAATCTCCCTGCTAGATGAAAAGCATCGCATCCAAATACCCACTCCAAGGGACCTCTGAGTGCCACTCTGACCACACTGATGGCGAGCAAAAGCGTATTAACATTAAGCACCATCTTTCATGTTTCCCTCGCCTCATTCAGGGCTCAGACATATTGTGTAAACATGCCAGCTGTTATGATGTTCTTCCTACCTGCCATTGTGTTCAGCCCCCGTCTGCGGTCCACCCGATGACTGCTACTGATGAATGAGAGGCTGTTTTTGTTGTTGTGCTTGGTAATCTTGTTCTAATGACGAGGAGGGAGAAGTGGCCCTTGCCCAGGTTGGAGTGGTCATGAATAATCTCTTATTATCCCTATTACTCTACAAAGACAGTAAGGCCATTGGGCAGGATCAAGGGCTGACAGCAAGGAGATTAATAATTGGGATTACATAATAAGATTACAAAAAATAAGTATTATCAGCCCAGATTACATTTGAAAAATTTGTATTTTGATTTTAGTTACATTGTCAAGGATTACTTGATTATATGTTTTTACTACATCTTTAAAATGTCAAAATCAGGAACGTTTTTTTTTTTTTTCATAACAATGCAGGATTAACGACAGAGTTGAGCCATTCCTGTGTCAATCTGAGTTTGTTAGGACCATTTACCTGCTTGGTGGTGGATGCTAGCCACTGCTGCTATGTTAGCTTGTGCTAACTGGGCAACTCACAAGTCACTAGAGGCTCCGGAGATGGAGGAAATAGAAAGTTTACTGATCCGGCGGCTAGTTGGGTCTCCAACACAAAAAGAATTGAATGGACATATTGTTTGACATTTCAATATCACTTGATTCTGGGTTATTTCAGTCGATACCTTAAAGGTATCAAATACTGATAGTCAGATCTAACATGGCGTTTTGTCATGGGCTTTCCACATCCACATACGACATGGAAGGTACCCTGGATGCGTTGATCGTTGACGTTCTGGGACACCGTGTCAAGTTCTGCCTGTTACATGCATTGTCTTCTTTCAATCTACACTTCCGTTTTCACAGATATTTACCGTTTACATAACCTGGAAATCCAGATGCCCCGCCCCTAGCAAATTCAAATTTGCACTGCACGGAAATCTGGCCCCGACAAGCAGAGCCCGCTGAATCGCCATCAGATCAATCAGATCAGTCTATCTGACAGAGGTGGGCTCTGGGCGGGGGTAACATGATGAGGACAGCGCTGCGCTGTAGGAGTCGAAAGGTAAACAGCCAAGATGGCAGCTGCTGAAGGACCACGTCCATTCAGTTTAGCTTTGGAAGAAACGCTAAGCCAACTACACTTATCTTTTTCCTTGAGAGAAGAACAGAAGACTGCCCTAGAAGAACAGAAGACTGCCCTAGAAGCCTTCGCTTCCAGGAAGGACATTTTTGCTGTTTTGCCGACAAGATAAGGCAAAAGCATAATATATCAGTTAGCCCCACTGTTCGGCAAACAAATGGGGCTTATTGCAATGAATACATCACCTTGTGTTTTGCTTTGATTGGCCATCGTGCTATCCAATTGTGTGCGGTGGCATTTGAAATGTGTTTGTTGAACCCATCCACCGCCACTCCCACCCGCCCCAGCCAGACTTTCGCCACTAACTTTCATTCTTGTCCCACCATGTTTACCCCTGACACCGCCAGACACTGTTAAACTATAGCAGCAACCGGCCGCGTATCATGCCAATGTTAGTTTTTGACACCGTAAGTCACTGCCCAAGTACTGGATTTCCATGACTTTGGAGTGAGACCAGGCTCAACATGGAGCTACTCTTGGTGCCAGATATAGTGCCTTAGTGCCAGTTTGGGAACTAAAGACCTTAAAGGGATAGTGTACCCAAAAATGAAAATTCAGCCATTACCTACTCACCCATATGCCGACAGAGGCCCTGGTGAAGTTTTAGAGTGCTCACATCCCTTGCGGAGATTGGCGGGTGGAGCGGCTAGCACACCTAATGGTAGACGGCGCCCCAGACTAACGTCCAAGAACACAAAATTGAATCCACAAAGTATCTCCATACTGTTCATCCATAGTGATCCAAGTGTGCTGCAGCCGCGACATAAAAAGTTGTTCGGAAAAACGTCATATGAACTCTGTTTTTAGCCTCACTGTAGCCTGTAGCTCTGACTGCTTCTCTGTGCTCCACGCTCACGTGCGCGCGCCTGCGCAAGACCAGCAAAAGCATGAGCTTTGCTCACCCGTGTTTACATCACATGACACGTGCACCGCAGGGGGAGACAACGTAACCACAGAGCTAAAAGATAATTTGCACTATGGTCTTTTAGCAAAGGACAGCCCAACATGTCTGAAGACTTTGAAATTGAGGAGGAACAGCATTTCTTTGTTGAGCCGTATTTGTTTGAGCCCGAGTATACGGACGGAACTCAGGCTACTGGATGAAGCAGCCGCCGCAGCTCATGAGCCGAACCCTGAGCCAGCTGCAGAATACCGGAGTTGAGCACTGGAAACCTGGTGGTGTAGTTGTTTCAAATGCAAAGTAATGCCAACGGATGAGGAAAGTCTTTGCTGCTCAGACTGGGAATTGGCGATGCCTGCACTTGAGAATCTGGACGTCATTACTGAGGATACTGCTGCTCTTCAGAGATCACAGAGCACAGAGAAGCAGTCAGAGCTACAGGCTACAGTGAGGCTAAAAACAGAGTTCATATGATGTTTTTCCAAACAACTTTTTATGTCGCGGCTGCAGCACACTTGGATCACTATGGATGAACAGTATGGAGATACTTTGTGGATTCAATTTTGTGTTCTTGGACGTTAGTCTGGGGCGCCGTCTACCATTAGGTGTGCTAGCCGCTCTACCCGCCGATCTCTGCCAGGGATGTGAGGACTCTAAAACTTCACCAGGGCCTCTGTCGGCATATGGGTGAGTAGATAATGGCTGA